CGTTCTTGTCTTTTATTTTATTTATTTCGTATCTTCCTAGTGTTGGTCTCAGGCATTTCATATTCCTGTTATTCTCTATGATTCTTTCTATTTCTATTTCTTGTTTCTTTCTTTTGTTTTCTTTTATAATATTCCTGATGGTCTTATTGATTTCTGTATATTCTATCGATTTCCTTTTCCCTTCTTCGTTCAGTTTCCGCCTTCTTTCCATGAGTTTCTTTGTCTCCTCTGATATGCAATCTACCTTCTTTTTATCTTTTTGCGCGATTTCGTTTCCTACCCTAACCATGGTTTCCGCTAATGTATCGTATATTTTATCTATATTTTCATTATCGCTGTTCAAGTTCTGGGTCAGTTGTTCCTTCAGTCTCTCTTTGTATATGGTTTTATTTTGTGCAAGTTTGGTCATGTCTAGTTGTTCCTTGTTTCCATTAGTTTTTCTTTTCATTTCAAAGTTGTCATCGATACATATTTTTCCTCTGACCATTCTGTGATCGCTGCCTGTGGTGAATCTGTTCAGGACTGTTACATCTTTAATAATATATTTTTCAGTGGTCTGTATGTAGTCAATTTCATTTCTCGTTGTTCCGTTAGGGCTGAGCCATGTCCACTTTCTTTGCGGTTTCTTCTTATAGAACGAGTTCATCGCATATAGATGTTTTTCTTCTAGATAGTTCATCAAGGTAGTTCCCCTATCGTTCCTCTCACCGTACCCAAAGTCCCCTATTTTAGTCTCTTCTTTATTCAGCTTCTTACCAAGTTTGGCATTGAAATCTCCAATTACTAGAGTAAGGCGAGTTTTATGTTCTTCCATAGCCTTTGAGATATCTTCATAGAATATTTCGATGCTCTCGTCGTCGTATGTTGAAGTGGGGGCGTACACTTGAATAATTTTAAGAGATGTTCTTTTCATTTTAAGTACGAGATAAGCAACCCGATCTGAGACTCCCTTGATAGTTTGGACGTGTTTACTTATCGCTTTATTTATAATAAATCCTACTCCAAAGTTACTGATGTTTTCATTACTTTTGTAGTATAGCAGGTTACCGGAGTTCAATTTTATTCGATTTTTAGTTTTTCTTCGAGTTTCTGACAAGCCTTCTATGTCCCACTTTATTCTTGTCAGCTCTTCCTCCAGTTCATGTATCTTTTCGTCAGTGTTCATTGATCTTATATTGTACGTTCCTATTGTTAGGTTGATCAGTTTCTTTGATTTTTGTTGTGTTAGTCGTTTTCGTGGGGTTTTGATCTTTGTTGGGAGCGAATTTTTGCCTCCCCCAGATTCCGTGAGACAGACCAGGTGTGGGAGTCGGGAAATTTCCCACCCACCTGGGGCCCAGTTCTATTTGTTTTAAAATTCGCCATGGTATGTAAAGGGGGGTAATGGCAAGTAAAACACCACGCTTGCCAGGCGGGTTGGTGAGTTTTGATTCAGCCGCCCATTCTGGGACAGACGCTGTTTTCAGCCGCTCACTCTGAGGCAGACGCTGCAGTGCTAGTTTTGGTCCGCCCCGATAGAGGACTAGCAAACCTCACCTGAGATTACAAAAGACGAAATCAGACTAGCAGTAGCATTACACCATATGAAAAACGGGTAAGCAGCAGGCGAAGATGGCATATTAACGGAGATGTTAAAGCAAGGCGGAGATATACTAGAGGACCAACTAGAAATGCTGTTCAACAAATGCCTGGAAAAGGACATATCACAGGACTGGACAAACGCCCTCGTGACAATCATTCACAAAAAGGGAGACACCGAGATACGCGGTTAATATTGAAATCCATGGTTGAGAAGAAGTAAAACTAATTTCTACTATATTTCCACTTAATTTTATAGAAACACTAACTATGCAAATACAAAGCGGTGCTGAAAATCTACTTGAATTAGGCTATGCAGTAAAGTAATAGGATAAACTAGGAATACAGTCCTTCATGAATCATGAATTACGACGGAATATCCATACCTTGACTTCAGGATTATTAAATTTTCAAGCAGCATATACCTACATACCTACCTATGTATCACTAAAAATATCAAGAATTGTCCAAGAAATGCCACAGTATGGAAGAAAAGATCCTCTGCCAAAAAATCGGCGAAAAAATCTACAATTTCCTCCAAGTTCAATGGTTTTCTAAAGGTTTGTTCAAACACAGCAAAAAACGTGCGTACAACATACCGTCATGATTCTGCGCAAAGCCTAAAATTTCTACGAATAAACCGAAATTCGTGGATGTGTGACTAGTGAATAGTGATGTCTATTGCTCACCCTCGAGCCAGTCAGAGTGTGAACAAGAAATTAACGAACCTGCCTATACTTTCAAATATTCGAATATTTGGAAACCTGAATAGTTATTTTCCCTTTAATTGAATGTAATGCAATAATCTTCAGTGATATTATTAGTAGGTACCTCGGTAGGTACCTACCTATAAGGCGGAATTATTTCAATAGCCTTCATCAGTTTCTACCTATTAAAAAGCCATTTGTTCATTGAAATATTCAGGTTTCTATTATTTGATTAAATACCTACCTACCTATGAAACTTTCTCAGCTCAGGGTAAGAGGCTAGGAGATCATTATTAATTTCGATTATACTAGTAGATACATGAAATAGGTATGCATGAGAAATTTATTGTGAATTTGTAGAAGCCCAATCTAAAATAATACGGCGTTCAAATCTCTCACTTTTTTGCACATTTTTTTCTGCTTGTCGTACATTTGAGTAAGTCCTGCGTCTAAGCACTTCTTAGAGTACCTACCTAACTGATATGTTGAAGAACTACTAGAAAATCTTGACATCACTACCCTTATATATTCCTTTTATTTTGCTAAAAAACTGCTCATATTCAGTCTTCTAAATTGAAGAAAACCTATTTACAAATCACAAATTCGCAGCGCAGGTAAGTACCTAAAAGTGATGTTAGAAATTGCAGACCACAGACCAGTGACAATACTATAAGTTATCTCTCTAATAAGGGCCGGTTTATTCACCTTCTCATAAACTGTCAGGTATGCAATCTGACGGATAAAAACGCAATCTGTGATCCCATTGATCGGCCAGTTATCCGCCGACCAATATAGAATTATAGAATGGTAAATTTATCTTGCAGATAGTTACCAGCAAGTTTATCTGAAGATGAATAAATGGGGATTGAATTATACCTAAAGAAATTTGCTGACATAAATAAATTAATGCTGATAGATATTCACGAAGGGAAGGGCTGGTTTATTCAACTTCTGATAAATTGTCAGGTATGCAATCTGGCAGAAAAAACGCAATTTGTAATCCCATTGGTCGACCAGTTATCCGCCGACTAATAGAATCAGCGAACTGTACATTGATTTTGCAGATAGTTACCATAGTAGCAAGTTTATCTGAAGATGAATAAACCGGCCCTAAATGGGTTAATTTACTGAATTAAAAATACTTAGAAAGAAAAATTTATATTTACCTGGTTAGTCTTTTTCAAACCACTGTAACTCACTAAACTCAGAAAGGGGAGCGCCCTAAATATTATATGAAAGTGTTGTCACGAAGCTATATCTATCTGTACTAAAGTTGTAATGCGGTCTTTATGTGTCGCTATCGACCGGAAAACGTCCTCTAACAATACCGCAATAAATAATTTAAAAAGTTCAGTAGAAAAGTAGATATTTTGTTCCTTTACAGGGACTTCGGTATTATGTATACTGCCTATTTTCAATGCAAACTTTTTTTTGCCTACTTATTTTTTAACGGAATAATTTTTGGTGTTGTATAATTAATGATAATTAAACGAATAGATAAGATAATGTAATTTTCACATAATATAGCGGTTGCTAGGCGATCTATCGATTCCCAATTGGAATATAAATATAAATAAATGGGTTATAGAATGTATGGGAGGACCAATAGTATATATATACTTAATTCAACAAGTGAGAAAACCTACACGTTTTTCATGAGCCCCAGAAGTTTGGTCGAAAGTTACCCAGATAACACAGAGGGATCCATAAGACATCCATTGGTTGTCCACTGGACGGCCAAGCAAAAATACTAGGAAGTCCGATGGACATCCAGATTAAGTTCAGTGGATGTCTCATGGACATCCTCTGGCTATCCAGTTGGCACAGCTCTGGATCATTCCTGGATGTCCAGATCATAGCCATGGGGTACCGCTTAAATATCCATTTATGGATGTCCACGAGGCATCCACTGGACTACTTTTGGACATCCTATGGATGACCATGTCCAGCAGTTTTTAGGCCATTTATGGAATATTTTGGATACTTTATGGATGTTCTAGCGGCATCCATTTTTTCTGCCATTCATGGAATACTCCTGGACATAATATGGTTGTCCATAAAGCATCCATTTATGGACATGAGCTGGAAATCAAATTTCAAAAAAATTGCTGTTAAACAAACTTTATTGGATCATTTTATTACTTACACCTAAAAACATTATTTACATAAAATAAGTTTGTGTCATTATTCTGCGGTTTATTTAGGAAAAGGAAAATTATTTAGTATATTCTCAGAATTAAAAATAAAAAATATATTATTAAGTGAGCTGTGCATCGAAATTATTACTGAAACTATAGTTTTTCAATTTTTAATTCTGCGAAAAAGCTTAATAATATCCTTTTCCTAAACTAAACCGCAGAAACAAACTTTCAAAAAATATTATTTTTTATATTAGACAAAAAAAACAGTTATTCTTGGCAAATTAACATTAACATAAAATTATTAAATAACATAAATCATATACGGTCGAAAATACTGGACGGACAAAAAGTGACACTTCAGTCCCTGTCATGAGGGAGTGAAATTGTCGCTTTAGTCCCGGAAGTACGAAAAAAATATATATTTTTTTTTAACAATAAAAAAAAACGACTATTCTTATAGGAACTACTAAAATATCAATAAAAAAGTATTGTTTTTTGTCAAACAAAACAAGTTTTACTCTCAAAGGAACCCAACAAACCAAAATAAAAACGAAGATAGCAGACAAGTGTTCACTTCCTTTCTTTTGCTCTACGCATCCAATTTTTGATACTAGTTTCAATGTCCTTTCTAGAAGAATCCTTAAACTTTTTGAAAACAGCATCTGGAACAATAAATTATAAAATAACTATAACTATTTAGACTGATAAATGCAAATAATATACCCTCAACGACTTGCATTAATAAATAGACGTAAAAGCTTAAAATGCTAGACATTAAATTTGCATTTTACGCCCTTAGTACAAAAAATAGTTACTATTTTTTGTATAACTAAGTACCTTTTATTTTAAAATCGAGTAAGACAGTCAGCAGTTTTTAAATTCTAAAAAATGGTTTAAAACTATTGTATGATATACTACTTACCAAACAACACACTGCATAGTTTTAGTTCTGAAAAATTTTTTTTCCCTTTTTTTCCAAAGTAAGTATAGGTCTCCGCCAATCGGTTTGAGATGCAGAAAGACAGGCCACGTTTCACGAATTGGTTAATGTCGATCCCTCCTATCTTAACAACTTCTTTAACCTTGAATAGATAGAAGAAAAATTAAAAAATCAGTATCATGTCTGTTTGAATACGTGACTTTTAACATTTGTATTTTTATAATCTAAATAAATAGACAGAAACCATAGAAAATTGAGTTAGGAATATATAGGTACTTACAACAATTGCATAATTAACATCATTCGATAAATACTCCTCAAAACCTGTTAAATCTTCTTCGTTGCTTAAAGGAAAATTAAAATCTTTAATGAAACTTATTTTGCAAGTTTCATTTATTTCTGAAGGTTTATTATTGGTATCAATTTTTTTGAGTGTTTGATCCATTTCAACTGTATAGCCATGAATTTCTTTAATGTATTGAAATAAAATGTTTTGTTTCCGGACAAGATCTGTCAAAAGCTTTCCTGAAATTAAAAGAAACAAATTTTGATCAAAAATACTTTGCAAAATTATAAATAAAATTCAATACCCAAAAACTCTCTTACCATGCATCTTGCAGCAGCCTGATTCTGTCGCTGAAACGTCCACTCTGATTTCATTGGTATTGTCACATCGAGGGTGTTCTAAAAAATTAATAAAAGGTTAATTTTTAGCTATTAAACGTTTTCGATATTTTAACCAGAACAGAACCTCCTTGTTTGATTTCAAAACAAAATTATAAACTATACATTATAAAATGAACTTTTGTCTTAAAATTATTTTTTTAATAAAATATTAAACTCCAAGCAGTTTTGGACATACCAATTACTCGACCATTTCCTAGTGCTGATCCTAAATTCGATGTCATACTTCCTAGAGAAGACGTCGAAGACGATGACGATCCCTTCGGCGATAATATATTATTGGCATCTGAACGTGGACCTCTTGCATTAGAATTAGCCAGACGAACAGGATTTTCTAGAACAAAACAAAATAGAACGATATTTTTTCTGTGCTACAATATGTAATTACGAAGTGTCTTTATTTTCATGGTTTTATCAAAAACACTTATCAGGAGAAATATTTTCACCTTAATTATTTTTAATTTCAAAAAATTCAAGTTTTATTACCTATTGAAGTTATAAATTTAATAATAATCAATTTCTCAACATACCAACCAAAATTGGGGCCGGTGGTAATGAATTTTTTTTGGGCTTACAGCCTCTTTCCTTTTCGTCCTCACTAGTAGAAATGGGGCTGGATTCCGGCGAAAAAACTTTTTTTGTTCTCTTTTTTCTTGAGGATTTTTCATCACCAGTATCTGAACAGAGGTCCGAGAACATTTCGGCAGTCTGACATTTTTTCCTAGCCGTAAGATAATCATCTGCAAAAATATAAAAGGAAACTGCAACTAAGTGATTTATGGGATTTCAGATTACTGTGAGTTATGATCAACTCACAGAATAATAATTGAACCAGAATTAATAAAAGAACTATTTAGATATCTAGGACTTCTGTTTTAAAAGTTATTAGTATTTTAAATACGTCAAGATAATCAACGCCTTCTATTAATACTCTTACCATATATTCCATTACGAAATATTTTCACAGGGTGCAGTGGCCAGCAAGTGTTTGGCTCCTCATTATTTTTAATAAATTTTAGTAGTTTTTCCTTATTAAATGGCGGCCAATAGCATTTGTTATTATAAATCCATGAGGAGGGCACTGCTTCCACTGCATTTTCCTCCTCAAACTGCACTACACTCCACGTCTTATCCATCCTTTTTTTTCGATGAGCAACGGAATTTCAGTAATTTGAAAAATTATACCAAATGTACAACTTCAAATAAACTAGCTGTAACATAAATTAATTATTATTACAAATAGTAGGAATGCAGTTATATATATAGTTACCTTTTGAATTAGCAGACAATAGCTGGTATACCTACATATACTTAGAATGATAATTGACCATTTTTAAATATTTTAATTTACTTATAGAAAATATTTTATAATTTTTTTTTGATAGAGAATGAGTTTTGAAAAATATGAGACATTATCAAGAAATAAAGTTCAGTTATTTTTGTACCTAGGTTAAACGAGACTTGAAAAAATACACACATTCATGTTAGCTGTGATGTTCATTGTAAAGTGTACCAATGAATAAATAAAATAAATGATATTAAAGCAAATCACTTCCTAGGACATAAAACTACCAGCTATCCCAAAATGTTAATTTAGATGTAAGAGTGGAAGCACTAGAAAAACATCATCCTTGAATGGTAATTTCAAACATTTTGAAGTTATTTCGGAAAGTGGCCACTGTTGGAGTTTGTCCAAATTTCTTACTAAATAAATGCCAAGTAAAGATGATTTTATAGGTTCAGTAAAAAAATCAGAAACATTTAGAAATCTATGTCCAATTATATATGGCAAACCCTTTTTTATTAAAATGTTTCTTATTAATATTAAATTTCCATTTTTTAATGAACAGCAATGATCAGGTGATTCCACAGTTAACAAGAAATTTTGACAATGCACTTTTTGAAACTGCTCATATTCTTCGTCAATATCGATAAGAGGTCCATTAAAATGTCGTGATTTGAAAGTAGGTTCATCAACAGATGATTCTTGTTTATAGAGAAAATCATTGAGTTCAGATTTACGAAATACAATTTGGGCTAAAGGTTTATCTTGTTTACGTACTAATTTTAAAATGATTTGCATGAAATTTTCAAAAGGAAATGCTGAAAAATTAAATAATGGACCGAATTTAGTAAAATCTGCATGGAGGTGCAGAAGATTATGAATGTTATGGGAACAGTGTTCTTGGCCATAAAGAAGACTAAAAGTATGGACAAAATATTCCAGTAATTCACTTGCATAGTTTGTTAATTCTGTGGAAGCACTTGGACTGGAAAGGATGTATATTGATACATGGAGAGACAAGAAATTTAAATATTTATCTTTTGTCAAAATATCTTTTAAAACGAGGGGGCCAGTGTAAATTAAAAATTGGTAAAACTCTGTGGCTTTCCATCTCTTACATTCCATCATAGACCGTGGCTTTCTATTAAATTCAGCCGGAATGCAATATTTTAAATCACATAATTTTTTTGAAATGTTTGAAATTTCACGGAAAGATAGCTTAATTGAAGGAGCGCCATTGCACCAAAGTGTAACTATGAGTTTTTTAACTACACCCAAGTAAACTAAATGCATAGGATCTAAAACAAAATCATCTATCATATTTAAACTAGGTATTTTTTCCAAAATACTAGCCCCCAAGTGATGTTCTTCTTGAGTTTTCTGTCTAAATTTATAGTTATTTCTTAAAACCAAGTTATTAACATTTGGAAAGCAAACTCTATTTTGTATAAATACCCCTTCAATCTCACACTTAGAGCATGAGTAGTATCCATTATGCCCCTTAGTAGAAGTGATAAAGGCCTTTGCCGGTACATCTACAATGAATGCTTTAATTGTAAACTGATACTTCTGATCATTAATTATAATACCCTGTTCTGAAAATTTATTCACTTCCTCCACAAAGTCTTTAAGAAATTCGTTCACATTTTTGGGTTTTTCATTTCCATGGTAAATACCTATTATGTCAACTACATTTCTATTTTGCACTAGTGAGCAAAGTATTGGATAAAACTGAGATCCAGAACTTTTTGATAGTGGAAGTCCATCAATATTAACATAAATCTCAATTTTGTCTATAGGCTTGTTTTTAATACAACAAAATAGGTTCTTAATACATTTTTCTAGGCCGAAATGGAAATATTGTCCAGGAAAAACAATTTTATATTCCAAATTTCTAGGTGTATGTAGTAAACTTCTGGCATCAAGGGGCAATTCATTAAAAGTTGGTTTCAATCGTTTTAATAAATCAGACAATGCAATATGAGATATGTTGAATTTTAAAGCCCACTCTGTTAATTCCGAAGTGATATCTTTTTTTTTTGTAATATTGTCACTGACTCCTAAATTTTGGACAACATTGGAAATTGAATCTTCTAAATCTGAAAAAGGTGAGGGTGAAACTGGGGGTGAAAGGGAAATATTGATATCTAATTCTTTATTGCCATCAAGATCAGGAGGATCTGCCCCGGGATCTGCTAACGTTAAGTCATTATTGAAATTCTCAGAAGCTACCATGAGTGGTGTGGCGTGTATATTCACATTATTGCGAGCATTATTGTCAGCTTGGAAATTATTACTTAAGTAAACATCAGAAGAAACATTATTTTCTTGATTATTATTAGTTCCACATATATTTTCCAAACTCATATCACTATGCAATTTTGCTTTTCTATATTTTGATCTGGAAAGTTTAGGCATTTTATTTGAAAAGTGAGTTGAAAAGTCAAGTAATCATCTAAATACTGTTTCACTGCTATCTATAAATCTATAATCTCATCAAATAACAGTGTTTTCCAACCTAAAAACAAAAAAGATCTATATCAGAAAATAGGTAGTACCTATGAATAATTTTAATTTTCTCACTAATTATGTATTCACCAAAATAAAAGTTAGAACAGTACCCAAATCTATAGACAGCTCGACTGTAATTTTTTTTTTTTCAAAAAAACTATTAGATTGATATTTGAGGTTGTATCAAGGTATAACTTAGGTCTCATCTATAAATATACCTACTCTTCATCTAGCAAATAAGTAAATTATAAAACGGGCTACGACCAAAAAAATTTGCCTTTTTTTTTAGATGAAATATTCATAGCAAAAAATCATAAATCATAAATAATGAACCAAAAATATTTTCATGTTTTGATAATAATTTATTGACGCCATATTGACTGGGTTTCAAAATTTATTGACACATTATGGTTAGATTTTACGATTTCTTTCTAATTTTGTGATAAGCAGAAATAATTAGGTAGGTATATCTATTAATTTCTTACCTGATGGGTGATTGATCCAACAACATCCAACACTGCAACACGACAAAACTTTTGCGAAAAAAATAAATAAAACGATAGCGTCCTGCTCCCCGGGATCACTGGTTTCAATGGAAATGGTGGCGTTGTGTTGTGTGCGGTGACTATGTACTACAACACTACACCTACAGATTAATTACTAGAGGAACGTTCTTCAAACGATAATTCTGATTTTCTGAAAGGCGGAAACGAACAACTACCTGTTTTTTGGCAATTTTTAAAGTAGAATAATTCCGTTGTTGCGTACGAATACAGCGGTAGAGTGTATCGTTCAAGCAGGCAGCAGCATGAAGGAGTAATGGCTGCTGCTGGAGTGCTGGCTGGCCGCGCAGATGGCGAAACGCAAGATGCCGCGCCCTGATTGGCTGGCGCTCGGTCACGTTAACTTCTATCCCTTTTAATTGGGTGACTCCGTAGCGCTCCTATCGACTGTACCACTGTACTATCGACTAATTTCTTAGACAGAATTTCACAAATGGACCACTAATACCTACCTACCACAACTTATTAATAAATTAAATATTTGAAAATTCATTTTTGATTGTATATAAGTACTTCACTAAATAGTTATCCACTAGAAAGTCATTGGACATCCCAGGAGTTTATGCCATGCATGCATCACAAAATTATTTCGATTTATAGGTTCATTTATGGACACTGAATGGATTTCCAGTGGATATCCATTCCTGGCAGTTCAGTAATTGTCCAAAAAAAAAGTCCACTGGATGTCCATTTCAAGACCATGATATTTATTTACATTTGTGGACATTAAATGGAATTCCAATGGATATCCGTTCCTTTCTGTCCATTTAATGTCTAAAAAATATAGTCCAATGGATGTCCAGTTTGTGACCATGATTTTTATATACATTTGTGGACGATAAATGGATTTCCAGAGGATATCCGTTTCTTGTGGTTCAGTTTTTGTCCAGAAAATATAGTCCATTAGATGTCCAGTTTATGACCACGATTTTTAGAAACATTTGTGGACACTTAATGGATTTCCATTGGATATCCGTTTCTGGCTGTTATCAGTTATTGTCCAAAAAATATAGTCCATTGGATGTCCATTTAATGTCCCTGGACATCTGTACATATTTTGTACCTAAAATGGATATCCATCGGATGTTGGGTGTTATCTGGGTAGAAAGTTATGCTATGTCCCAACAAAATTACGAATGTGTTTCTGTACGTACAAGACTATGCAGTTAGGTGCAGACATAAAGTGATTTCCGCTATAGTTAGGAACATTATGATTCTTTCGCGCAAACTTTGGATCAAGCGGAAAAATCTCGACTCAAGTTGGTTGACGCAACTTTGAAAGTTCTAACTCATGACCATCTTTTTCTCATAGGTTTTTTTTTTATAACCTAGGTAATGTTCAAAATTTATGTTATAACGGTCTACGGTCTCTAGAGAAGGTAACGGCTTTTGAAATAGGTACCTACTTCAAACTCATCTTTTTCGCCCATGTTTTTGAGAACCGGGCATTTTATGGTGCGAGGTCATTTTTCTATACCTATATCGTTGCTTGTATATAGAAAAAACATTTGATAAAATATAGTTTCCCAGGAAGTCACACAATTACAGTAGGGTGACCATACGTACAGTGGGAATCATTGCAATTGGCACACACTATATAAATATCCCTCGTAATGTGTCAAATCTGACACACAGTGATAGCAAAATGCTGCACTAAATAGATTTATTGGTTAGAATTTTGACTTAACACGAGGGATTTTAAAGAGTGTGTGCCAATTGCAATGATTCCCACTGTACAGCATTTCGCTGTATTGTACAACATTTTCAAAGTCTGTCCAGCGATTCGGATCCGATCATAATTAGGTTTTTTAAAAAAAAAAATTGAAAAAATCGTCCGTCAATAATTAACGACATTTCTACAATTGCGATTTACGTCATTTACGCCATCATCTCCCAGAGTACCTATTCTTTTTATGGCTAACTACCTTTTTTAGCTCTCTCTATTCCTCGCTGTTAAGAAGAAGACACAGCATGATAGGTCTGTTTCTGCAGCAATCACAAACTAGTCAACGCGAATTTCATTGGTTGAAAATAGTCAGAAAGTCAGAAACAGTCAAAAAACTAGTTTCAACCCAAGGTCCCTAAAGTTAATAGGTTGTCTGGTAATGGTAAATAGATGACGTCATCAGGAAGATTCAATGGAGATTTGCATTATGTTTAGGCATCCAGATGACGTCATAAAAGTTATCATCTAACCTATACCTCTTTTAAACAACCTTGGTTTCAACCAATGAAATTCACTCTGACTGGTTTGTGATTTCTGTGCGAACAGACCTATTATGTTACGTCTTTCATTTTTTTTTTTTGTTGTGGTACAAAAACGGGCTATAAAGTCAACAAAATTTGCATTTAGTGTTTTCTCCACTCACCTGTCCCAAAATTTTAGATGTGTACAGCATTCATAGAAAAAAAATATGGTCACCCTAAATTACAGTCATGATACATGGAAGTCTAGTACAGCGTGTATTTTTATTGGTCCTTCCAGTATAATGTACCTATATCATTTCACATTATCTCGTATGAACATTTGTGTCGTGCAAACGAATCATTACTCGGAATCTACGACTTAAAAAATTGAGGTCGGGTCAATAAAATCATCCCTCATATCCGAAAGAAGACGGTCCGACAAAATCCAATTATTCTAATTGTCCATTAAATATGTAGTTAGGTACCTATTAAGTTTTTTCGTAAACTATTTTTGACAAAATGATTTGGAGTAGGTATACGTGTCCGATATAGAAATGATTTTATTCAGTTTTTTGAGGTTACATTGAATATTAATGAGAAATAATTCGGCTTCCGCTTTCTTTTCAATGTGTGATACCTACCTACTTAATTTATCATAGCTTTCAATAAAATTAATGTAGTTTCTTTAATTTTGTAAGTAGATACTTAGTACTGTTGCGGAAATAACCCACAACAGGTTTAATTTTTATTATTTCTAATTTAATTTACCTATCTCAATTTCTATTATTTACCATAAAAATAATATTCTAAAAATAGATGCAGGTTCAGCCGCCGCACAAAGTCCCTAGTTTTGCGACCTGTTCCCCTGGCAGAGTCTAGTCGACGCACATTCTTCAGTACTATTAGAATAAGCGAAAAGTTCGCACCCTCGCGCCCTCTGAATGCTCTCCAGAGGCAAAACCCCCAAAAACCCCCGTTAGTACGCGCGATTTATAGTAAAATACTACTCTCTATGTCTCAAGGCCTGACATGGTCTGTAGGTAGGTATTATTGATTACAATTCATATAATTAACCCCTAATTGTTGCAAGTCACCTCGGACGAGCAAAATTCTCTCCTACGCGATTGTCTTTTGGCCCTCTATCACTCTTGACGGGCTCCAACGCGCCTGTATATCGTTGTGTTTTCTTTTCATCTCAGTGGAAAATTCCCTAGCTGCCAGTGTGAATAGTGGTGATAAATGGATAAATAATCGCCTTGTGGATTTATCTGCATGAACCGGATTAAGCAAGTAAGACCGTTACAATTTCTCTAACAGTCGAACAATAAATACTGATTAGTGATTCGCTTGAAATGCACTATAAATTGAAGTGTTTTCTAACCTTTAATGCAGATTTTTGGTTTCCACAGTCGTGAAATTAACATTTGTACATTTGTATATAGCAACTGAGCATATATAAAGACTTTTCTTGCACATATTGTTTACAGACTTCCGCAGAAAAGTGCTCAAATTGTTAACTCTCAATAAATGAAAGAACTTTCAAGGATCAATAAACATTTTGTGATTGCTCTGAACTGATTAAAGTTGACGAATTATTTATGTGGTGCTCTCGTGCATTTAATTGGTTAATTTGTGTTCTCGTTCATTGAACATTTAACCATAAATGATGTTTTTATCATTATCAGATTTCCCTACTTTTTATAAATCAAGATACGGAATATAGAATGGTAACTCCTATGTTAAAAAAAAGTTTATATATGGGCGCCATCTATACGCTTGGGTCAAAGTAAAATGATTTTGGAGGGATATTTGAATTTGAAACTTTGTTTGTGGATGATCTTATTGGGCCTTGATCAGATTTGACATTAGTTGTTGTTGTTATATTTATCCCTCATTATTAGAAATAAATATAATATGTAATAACCAAGACTGATCTAGACAACGCCCAAAACGTTTTTTGGATATTGATAGGAAAATAAAACTCGTGTCTGTCAACTGTTAGGCTTATATTATTTTTATTTAGGTACATGACATGTATAAATAATAATTGAACTATTTCTGTTTGTCTTCACATTAATTTCAAAACCAAAGGGATTGGCGCCATGATAAAGATAAAACTTACCTGCTGTGGGATCACGAAACTCGATATCCGTTTAAAGTTTGTCACCTTTGATCGAAAATCGAAAGGAGTTGTTCATGACATTCGACTGATCGATTTATTTCGATCGAAATGCCTCGATAGGTTCGGAGGTCTCGAATTAGGTTAAATTTTATCTATTTTGTCAATATATCGTGAAAATCTCATAAAAATAAAAATGTTACGTTATCCAGGCTATTTGGCAAAGACAAAAAAATAGGCGTCGTCGCCAGAAACTTGAGCTTGTTCGGCGAAGACAAATTTTAGGGTACAAGCAAGAAACCTTTTCCAGAGGCAAGATTTGTAGATTATTTCGTCTTAATAAACGACAACTGCAGAACTCATACAATTGATACGACCATATATACCAGAGAGAATTCTTGCTAGGGTAGTTACTCTAGAAAACATGGTGCTATGAACTTTAAGATTTCATGCCACAGGCTCTTATCAGAGATGCATTGGTGTCTAGTGAAAGGTATAATTTTGAGCCCAAAGTTTATTGTTGAACTTTGAAACAATTAAAATTGAAACTTTACAAAATACAAAACAAAGATATTCAAAGTGCGTAACTTTAGCAACAATCGAATAAACTCGATTTCCAACTCGAACTCGATCGAGTTTCGTGAATAATCCACTCGACTCGATCATCGTTTGACTCGATATGATCGAATCGAACCTCGTGATCCCGATGCTGAACTAAAACTGGTAGAAGTAAAAACACTAACTAATGAAAATGTTTCATAAAAAGTTTGACAAACTAAAAATTGTTTGACAACCGGCCGACCAGTATGACAGCTGATAGCGTCAACATCCAAAGGCGTCCACTAAAATCGTTTACCAGCGATGAACATGCGCGCCCCCTGACAGGCTTGGGGCACATTAAATATTGCCACGATCGATCAATACAAGATCGCGTACCATGGTACTCATTTACTTTAGATTAGTATAAAATTTGTAGTTCGACTGGATGTCCAATTAGGAATTTTTAGATAGGATTTGATTGCTGACTATAAGACTATACCGAATTACTTTCATTTATTAATTAAATTGATAATTATTCTATTTTAGCGTTTTATTTGTATAAATGAGAATCAAGGCACCCCTAACCCAATACAAGGCTTAAATGATCCAACACCTAATGGTTAATTTTCACAGTCAGTCAAAGTAAAAATTTTTGGCATCCCTGGTGCGGTTTGACTAGAGGCCAAAAAGGGGCAATATCTAGTTCCGTCACAAGAACCAAGAACCTACGTAGATATTATGGTAGACAATATCCAAAGTTGTAGAAAAACCTCTTGAAAAACGTATGATGGACAAAACATAAAGTTGCTAACTCCGCCCAATTTAAATTCCTTCCTAAGAAGGGTACCCATGATGCAATGTTTAGCGAGCTTAGAACAACTTCTTTAAGCACTACAAAAATGGCTTTGACACCGTGGCCGTGTTCTATGACTTCTCCAAGGCCTTTATGCTACTCACAGAATATTGCTGGGGAAGTTAGAGGTCTACGGTTTTCGGAGTGTGAGCTTGAAGTGCTTCGAATCCTATATCTTTCGCAATGCGATGCCAAGCTCTCTTTACGAGGCAACAAAATCTAGAGGCATGGACCCGCTAATTTGTATTATGATTAGGACCATGCTGAACGGTAGAGTGATAACGACTTCTCTACAGGGGGAAACAGTCAGGTTCAGGGCCGCTTTCCGCCAGGAGCTGTCCGCAGGAAGGGGTACTCTCTCTGCTTCTGTGGTCACTCCTGGTGGATGACCTCCTGGCCGTGAAACAACAACTATGGGGTGGTTGAGGTTCAAGCATATGCGGACGATCTAGTTATAATAACCAAGGGTAGTTCTGAGACGAGGATCTCAGCTGATGCACTCCAAGGGGTGCTAGACTCCATGCATGTGCGAGAGAGAGCAAATGACAATTAATGCTCACAACACAAAATGGTCATAGTATACCCGTCAAAAGAAGAAAACTTGATAATTTGGTACCCCTAACTATTCGGGGATAATTAGTACCATTCTCAAATGGAGCCAAGTATTTGGGAGTCATCCTGGACAAGACTCTAAACTAGAGGGCTCATTGGAAAAAGTAGGTAAGCAAAAAGGCAAAATTGTCGCTTTGGAACTGCCACAGGATCTGTGGAAAGACCTGGGGAACAAATCAAAAACAGATTCACTGGATCTACACCATATGGTTATCAGGTTATCAGACCAATGATAACCTACGGCTCTGTAGTATGATGGGGCAAGGCGAATCAGAAAAAAGTTCAAGCCACACTTAGCGACCTGCAGAGAATAGCTTGCCTGGCGATAACGGGAGCATTGCGCACCACGCCTACAGCAGCTATGGAAGTCCTCATAAATCTGACTCCACTTCACATATACATGAAGACTTGAAGAGGGAAGCAATGAGGTCAACCTATCGGTTTTACCATGCTTCAAAAAGCACTTTGAAGGGAGAAGCGCAATGCAACACTCGCATGAAATAAATCGAACACGGCACCCTTAGCATGCCTTCTGACATAATGCCAAAGAAAACCAACCTTGGTTTGCCCTTCAAAACAATGATTCCCGACAGAGAGCTATGGGCCAGCGACAGGACCGAGCTACTGAGGAGTGAGGGCAGATCTCTGCGTGTACACAGATGGGCGGCGATGGCTTCAAAACAAAACATGGCGTCGCAGCAGGGGTATATGGAATGGTGAAAAACCAAGGCTGGGAATTTCGGTCAGCCTTGGCAAAAACGAATCCATACCTATTGGGATGGCTTGGCGCGAAAAAGCTTTTGGAAAAGCAACAAACGCACAAGTCGATAAAAATATTTTCTGATAGCCAAGCAGCGCTGACAGCACTGGCATCCATACATAATCATACATTGCACGTCGGAAACAGTATGGAACTGCAAACAAGCCCTGACCCAGCTAGGAGAAAGGAACAACGTTTCACTAATCTGGGTACCGGGACATACCTCACATAGCGGACAAGAAGGCAACGAAAAAGCGGACCAACTAGCAAAAGCTGGATCCGAGCTTAGCTTCATTGGACCGGAGCCAGTACTGGGAATAGCCCTGAATACGGCTAACCTCACAATCTCGACCTGGGCCAGAGGGGGGATCGTTACTTGAAAAAAGTAACGCGTTACTTTACAGTTACTTTTGCTTAAAAATAACTCGTTACTCGAAATGTACAGCTACTTTCGAATAATGATAACTTTATTTTCGTTACTTATTGGAAAGTAACGCGTTACTGTAACTTCTTTACTTTGAAACTAACTTCTTTACTTTAGAAGTAGTTCGTTACTTAAAAGTAACTCGTTATTTGAAAGTAACCCGTTACCTCAACGCGTTAGTTTGAAATAAAGCGCTACTTTAAATAAAACGTTACCTTTAAAGTAACGCGTTACTTCAAAAATAACTATTTATGTCAAACAGCACTCCAAACAATAAACTTATACGAAATGCCAATATGTTTTTAGTTTATGTGTCCGACTATGTGGAAGAGTTTTGTTGCAAAATTCAAACGGATTAAGGATTAAGCGACTAAATAGAGACCTTGGTTTTGGATAAACCTGCTTTTTGGAGGGTCCCAGTGTCTGCATATAGTGTCTTTAGAGCAGAGCCGGCGCGTGCCACACCCAAAAATTATTATTTTGAGCTTTCAAAACAGATTTTCTGTACTACCCACATTTTATTTGACATACAAAGTTTTTGGATTAGGTACCTACTTATTTCCCTTTTTCTCAATCGTCAATTATTTGTAAAGAAGATAAACAAATTGAGAGAACGCCTTACTTTCATAGTAACTAGTAACACGTTACTTCCATATAAACGCGTTATTTTCATAGTAACGCGCTACTTTCATAGTAACTCGTTACTTTAACAAAATAACGATCTGCATTTACTTCAGGAAAGTAACGTCGTTACAGTTACTTATCAATCAATCTGAGAAGTAACGAAGTTACCAAGTAACGCGTTACTTTCAGTAACTCGTTAAAGTAAAGTAACTATTTTTTGTCGTTACTCCCAGCTCTGACCTAGGCCAATACAGAGGCCAAACAATATTGGTCGAGCGGGACTACCGGGCATGAACCATGCAAAATCCTTTGTACCCTGTCCAAAGGGAGGGAAAGTGGCAAACATACTTCTGGGAACAGCGAGGAAGAGCCTCAAAGCACTGGTGGTTCTGTACACTGCAGACTCCGTTATCACATGCACATGCGCCGCAATAGCACAAAGTGCCGAGTGTCGCCTATGCATGAAAGAAGACGAAACTGCAGAACATGTCCTATGCACATGTACGGCAATAGCCAGAATCAGGCATGCTGTTTTCGGGTCAGCTGTTCGACCCGAATATATAAAGCGTGCCTCCCCCACACTTATCTCCACCTTCATAAGAAGGGGTAGACTGATGGGGGAAATATAAACTCGGAGTGAGTCTCAATAGAGCGCAGGTTGCAGTGGAAGGGCCGACATCGGACCACTCACAAGAAACCTAAACCTTAAAAAACCTATATCTTTCACATCGCAGGCAGCCTGGATGGAAAATATATGTTTTTCTGATTAACCAATCGTCCATGCGGGGTTCTACAAAGATCAGTCCTGGGACCAATATTATTCCTCATAGGAATACGTAAATGAAATGATCTTCTCTATCTTGATATATCAGCAGGGTCCTTATTCTTGAAACAGGGGAGCAGCGTTCCCAGGAGAACGAGTGTTCCGTCTTTCTCAATGATATGCAAATGATGATATAAGTAACAAAGACAGAACACTCGTTCTCCCGGGAACGCTGCGCCCCTGTTTCAAGAATAAGGATCCAGAAGTCTTCGCTGCGTTCGCGGATGATTCAACGGTTGTGTTGCACAGAAAAAGTCCGGATGAGCTGGTCCACGTGATTTTTGATGGCATCAGAGCCATGAAGTGTTGGTGTGATGCTAATAAACTGCTTCAACTTTATAGTCTCATTTTGCATTAATACAATCTCACCTTTCCTATGGACTATCTTTTTGGGGCTGTTGTAGCTTGTTTCAATCAGTGTTTAAAACCTAGAAGCGAGCAGTTTGCTTTATCGCTGGTGCATCTCCCTCCAGTAGAACACTGCATTGAGATTGCCTTGTCTTTTTATCCTTGAGTCAGTTGTAGATTTGTTTGAATGGAGATGGCGCAGAGGCGTCCTCTACCTTAAGGTCACCGAATCGTCGCAAAATTGCCGACGGATTTAGTGACCTTACTCTACCTCTGCAACCTTGTCAGATGTATTGTGGTATCTCCTATCTGTCCTCAGAGTGCGTTCTCTAGCCCCGTCCTTTTTATTAGACTCCAGAGCCATGATACTGGCCAACCCATGTAGCTTGCCGGATTGAGTCAGCTGGTTCATTCCCTGTAATCAAACTACCTTCTCCACACAACAGACGCACGATACACCTTTCCATTCAGCACTCTACTCTTGTGAAGAATTTAATCATAAAACTCTATAATCACCTTCCTACTGCAACTATCAGAAACATCTCAGATATGTTGCAGCCATTCGTAAAACATTTTACTTCAACATGCCTTTTACACAGTTTATGAATTTCTAAATGTTTCTAATAAAATTACAACCTTCCTGCTTCTATTATAGCTGCTATGCTGTAATGAAATTTACCGAAATTAAATAACTTGGAACTCAAATTGTGTTAGTGGAAGTTTATTGTCTTTTTATTTTTTTCAAAATCCTAAAATTTTTTGCGGTTTGTTATACATATTTTAACTTCTTGTGTTTATGCACCACAATTGAATCGGGCATTCTCAAAAACCCCCATGTAGGAAATATTGTACATTTTTCTTAAGCGCTTTCTGAAATATTAGACCGTTTTCATACATAACGACAACCCCTGTATATCAGGGCTACCATACTCTCTTCAGATTTCCATAACCACTCATCCTAAAAAAATTAAGTGGATGGATATATTACATACTAAAGGTGAGTTTACACATGCATGGATTTAGTGGCGCCAGTGGTCGCGCCAGTTCTATTTGCACGCCAGTAAAGGTTTACACTTTGTGTGAAAAACAGAAATAAGTGGCACGCCAGTTTCACTTTTAAAGTGGCTTTTCTCAGTGTGCACTATGTCGAGTGAACTTTCCGAAGCCTGTAAAATAGTCGCTAAACTTTTAGTAAAAAAAAAAGATAAAAGAAATACAGAAAAAGAAACGCAACCAACAAAATGGCCGTTTCTGGGTTGAACCATGGATTGGTCGTCGACCCACTTTAGCTGCTTCTGCAAAACTTCTAGGAGAACTTGCAGCAACCGAAATGAAAATCAAACGAAAAACTGGCGAGCGGACGCCGTCGTGCAAGCACTTGTTTACACTTGCAAGTTTTGATTTTCTGTACGAATTTGTCACCACTGGCGCCAGTGATGTCAGAAGGATGCAGACTTTTTTGGACTATGCATGCAAATATAAAATGTTTATGCAAGTACATGTTTACACTTGCTAATAAAATTTACTGGCGCACCAGTTTTTATTGGCGCCACTAAATCCATGCATGTGTAAACGCACCTTTAAGGTACATACAAAGTAAGATACTGTACAACTCTTCAGTCCGCCTGGCGTTTTAATGTCAAATTACCTCCTTCAATTAGGCAATTCAATCCATCTGTCAAAAAGGAAAATTCAATGTGACGTGGCGGCCAAGCAAGTTTGTTTTGAAATATGTTTTTATGCGTATTTTAAATTATTTTGCATACAGTTTTGCTTACAACTTTGATTTTCATTATTTAATAAAATATTTGTTGACTAGGGACCTAAACTATTAGTTCGGGCAGAAACTAGATATTTTTTTGTGTTTTTTGGCCCATGTGTGGCCGCCACGCCATCTTAAATGTCACGTGGTTTGAATTGCCTAATAGGGCAAGTACACGATCTGACAGTTTGACACTATTGACAATCGCCTTGAGGTAAAACAAAGATATAATTTACAGTGGTTTTTTAAAGTTTTTAGTTAGATTTTTTAAAATAAATACCTTTTGTGTGATTCAGAAGTTTCTTGGACATGCCTAGAGTTTGTTTAGTTGTTAATTGTGGCAGTATAGCGCAAGGGATACAATATCCTTCCATAGGTTTCCATCAATTAAAAAAAAAATGGGAGGTTTGATTTGTTAGCTCAAGAAAGAAGAGAAAAATTGATTAATGTTGTTAGAAGAGAAGATCTGACAGAAAAATAGATTGAATATAGAGTAACTATACTTATATATTTGTTCTTGTGACACTTGGTTTTGATATTTGTTGGAAAAAACCTGAATTTAATCCATTATAGAAAAATCTAGCCAACTTCAGGATAAAAGACCACTTAGACTCGAACATAAACACTTTACTTTAACTTTTTTAAAACAAAATAACACAAAACTTGTAAAAAAGCTGTGAAAACCGCATAAAACATAACCGGCCTAATCTACACGAATGTAAATAAATGAGTTGTTTTTCCTCAGGGCGACTGTCAAACTCATTGGTGACGTCACATGGACATGCCTCTATGGACATGCCCTATAACATTCTGACTTGAGGATTCTGGGAGAGGCTAAAATTTGGCAAAATTGGCATTGGAACATGTAACACTTATATTATGAATGAAAAATCCAAGAACTAGAAGTATCAAACATGCAGTGTGATATCGCAGGCCTTGAGGAGATAAAGAAAGAAGAATAAAGAATACAACTAAACTCCAGAAATACACTGTACTACAAGGCAAATGGGGTTTTATTAAAGGGCATATCAGCCCAACTAGAGTATACTTAAAATAAAATGAACATATTATCTAAAAATCATGCAAGAGGAGTTAAACAGTTGACACATAACAGAAAATTTGACACAACAGTTAGATTATTAAAGCATTAATTCTATTATTTCACAAATAAATATTTGCAAGTTAGTAAATAACTGTAACTGTTTAAATTTTAAATGCAAACATTAATAAATTTATTATGAAATAGTTAATAATAAATAAGCAAACTCTAGGGATTCTAAAGTTTAGTTATAATTACACTTTTTACAGTTTGTAAGCTTGTCTCATCATCAAATTAAAATAGCAGTCATTCTCTATTGATGCACTGATTGCTGCATAGTAGTTGAAAAATTCCTCTTTGGTCACCTAAAAATGAAGAGATAATGATTTTTTTGGTAAAATCCAGAAAAATATGATTTTTGATAAAAGTCAATTAACAGAGTTTTAAGTTGTCTTTGGCTGTAGTTACCTTAACAAAACTGTTTGAATCAGTGGCGTCACGCAATACATGGGTAAACATATTTTTTTTTAAAATAATACATCAAACTTTAAGAGAAATTACCAACTTACCTTTCCTGCCAAGAACTATAGCAGGAATCTACAAAAAAGAGCATGAACAACAACAAATTGCCTCTTCCAAATGTAGTGCTATTTTTCAAATATATTATTGCTTTCAGAATCACAAAATCCTAATCGACTGGTTTACGAAGGGCGAAGGCCCACTCTCGTACTGGTATGTAAGTAGTGATTTAACCACGGATTTAAAATTGAATATAAAAATGTCAAAACATAGTCCAAATCAACACTGCAACCTGCAACACAACTTTAAAAGCTTGCTTGAAAGACTGGAATGTCTATCCCCATTGTATCAATGGGGATTTGAATTATTTTGAAAATAACATTGACTTCAATAGGCCACTTTTACGTGCTGGAAATATGGCAAATTAGAATATTTTTTGAGGGAGATAATTTTTTTTTTTAATTTTAATTTATTTATCAGTAATGGTTATAAAAGTACAATAATAAATTACAGTGTGCAATATTAACAATAAAGAATCAACAAAAATGGTAGTACCTACTTAATACATGTCGAGTTACTACTTATTACTATTACTGCTATTACCATTGTCCAGCACTATACCCTAACTCGAGTCTAAAGAACACCTCGACTCATGTGTTGTACGCATGCCTTAGCTTTAGAGTAATAAGTGTTAGTCTTTGTTTGTTGGTATTTTAAACGAAACCGAGCAAATCAAAACTAACCCGTTCTCTTAACAATCTTGAAAAAAAAAAAAAACCCTTAGAAAAAAGAAAAAAATTATTGCCTCCAACAAGAATCGAACCCGGGTCAATTTCCAGAAACCGTAAGTACCTATACAGGGTGTTTCGCGGAGGGTTAGCCAGACTTGGTGGGCGTATAGATAGGCCCAGGCCCATTTCGAAGATATTTTATTAATACAATAATTGTGGCCTTAGGTTCCATTTTTTTTCATCATTTGTTCTCAAAAATGAACCTTTTAAATTGTGTAACTTTTTTTAAAATATTTATGAAAACGTTTGATGCGTGTGTTTTTGGTCTGTAGGGTACCACACCATGCCTGTGAAATAAATCGTAGAAATCGAGGTGATAAAGTACGCAAAACATTATCTAACATATAACTTTATCAACAGGAGCTGCCATTGGCATTGGCATTTAGCACGATATGAGTCAGGGTTTCCTTTAGATATAAATAGCACACCACCTGGCAATCAGTCGTGTTTGATATTTTCAGCCAGGCGGCCCAGGCGCAAGGCATAATCGGCATGGAAGAACAGTTAATTTCGGCTTATGGAAAGCTATATTATGGGACCCAGCAGACGAATTGAGGAACACTCATACGTGCAAAATTGAAGAATTTTAAGAGGAATCTCACGTCTTGGAAACTCGCAAAAATTCACCATCATAGTCTCTGTGAAAGTTATACTCATGCACACACATTCTCTTATTTCCCAGATTTACATATTTAAGATAAAAACTGTCACAGAGGAGAAGCCTTGTGGCAAATTTTGAAAGAGGCATCTTGAGCACCCGCAACTACAATAGTTTTATAGTGAACTTGATTTGGATTGGTATGTTTTCCCCGCGACGAGTGCGGCCAAGGTATATCCACCCTGTAACCATTAACCTCCACCATCTTCCCACCAAGCTCCCTACTACCCTCCTGCAGTGCGGTTTCGGGTTTAAGGACGAAAATAGTTTCTAGGTAGTGAGTTCTGTAATGATTTATTAATGAGAAATCCTGCCTCCTGGTATTTTTCAAAAAGTTACGTCACTTTCCTGTCTCGCCTTTCGTCAGCCGTTTGTTTAAAAATTCGATTTTCAAATCATAATTAAATTCAGAAATATTTTTAAGAATAGGACTTTTTTTTCTGGAAAACACAGATGTTATTAGAAAGACATACAGAATAATTTAAAAATGTTTTGGAAAAATGTGAAAGTGGCCTATTGAATTGGACTGGATTATAAACCTCATAATCTACCAGTGGAACGCACTCAGTAAAGAAGCTGTCACAGTTTGAACAATAAGCTCACTTAAAAGCTGTCTTGATCGCGAAGGGAGTTGCAATACTTTTAAATCTATTATCAATAATTTCATCAGTGTAAACCGCTTACTGTTGGTAAACTGATAATAAACATTAATAATAATAGTAATTTCTATCAGATATGTACATGTAGGTAGGGTAGGTAAATGATATAAAAATTGTATCAAAAGCCAAGACTACACAGTATCACAGTATGAAGAGCCTACCAACTTTAATCATTAAGCTTAAAGTACCCCAAACATCAGAGGCGAGTAGGAGAGAGATTCAAAAATCAATAAATCCCGCCAATTTAAATGTTGGCATAAGGAATATTAGAGAAACCAAACAAGGAGGTATTGTGGTCAAATGTGGTACAAAACATGAATTAGAGAGGTTCAAGAACGAAGTTGTGAATTAGTTCAGAGGAAAGTATGAAACTGAACTACCCAAGAAAGTATTGCCGAAAATAAAAATTATTGGATATGCAGGAAATGACCCTACAGAATCTATTGAGGAAACAATAAGGAAGCAAAACAACTGGATTGACGCCAAAGAACATTTCAGGGTAATATATGTGAAAAAACAAAAAAACTAAAAAATAAACTCAATATTGTGGAAGCTGTGGTGAAGATGATCACATTACAGCAGAATGTGAAAACCAAAATAAAAAGTGCATTAACTGTTTGGTAGCCAACACACAGTATAAGATGCAGTATGATATTCATCATGCTGCATTAGACCCTATCTGTCTATCACTTAAGTATCATATGGGACTCGTTAGAAGCAAAATTGATTATAATTCCAACTTATAAATAAATGGTGATAAACTCACAAGATGATATTTTAAATGAAATACATAAAGCTGATTGATGATGGGCCTCATATTGCAGCAGCAGATGCAATAAATATAGAGCATATACAGTTTGATGAAAAAAATATTTTAAGTATAATGCATATCAATATTAGAAGTATTAGGAAAACATAGATAATTTGGTAACTGTCTTGAATGCATATAATTTGGATCATGTTTTGAAATTGAGTCAACAAACAATTTTAATATCCCCAGTTATCAATTATTCTACAATGAAGCAACATAATATAAGAAAAATGACGGGCTTATATTTTTAGTAAAAAATGAAATTATTGTCAGTTTCTCATATATTCAGTCAACACATTCAAAAGTTACACTTAGTAGAATATTATTTGAAATAGGAAATATAACATTTAATGTGATTGCTGCTTACAAGCCCCCACCCATACTAAAAGCTGATTTTATTAATGATATTCGTACCTTCTTAGAAACCTCATTAAATGCAAATGTTACAATATTTTTAGGGGACATCAATATTAGATAATAACGATAATCATGTAGCTAATTATCTTTCTTCAATGGGAGCCCTTGGTTTTGTGTCGTATATAAACTCGATAACTAGATCAGATTCGGGAACTTGCCTAGATCATATATCTGTTAATCACAAAATGATATTAAATAACTTAAGTTTTAACTCGCTTGTTGTTGAGGCTGACCTAACAGACCACAAACTAGTTATGCTTTTTGTAGATAATAAGAACTTGATATCAATGATCTCGGAAGTGGGATCGAACCAAAAGTAGTCCATTACAAAGAGTAGACAACATAGATTACTTGAAACAGTGCCTGCAGCAGGTTGACTGGTCCATGGTTACACAGGAACAAAATCCGGAAATGGCTACTGAATTATTTTTAAATACATACAAGGGTTTGATATCAAAGGCAACAGAAATTTCAAATATAAAAATTAAAAAATACAAAAAAATTAAAAGTTGGATTAGTAATGGTATTATCACATCCAATAAGATTAGAGATAGAATGAAGAAAAAACTTTTGAATAATTATAATCCTCAACTTGAAATAGAATACAAAGAGTATCGAAATTATTTAAATAAATTAATACTGAAACAAAAGAATGATTATTATCGAAGAGAGGTGGAAAATAATAAATACAATATGAGAAAACTTTATGAAATTATCAAAGATGCTACATATGAAAATAATGATAAAAACTCCCACATTATGAACATAGAAAATGATTAGGTTGAGAAGTTTAATGATATGTGTGAGATGGCTAATTTCTGTAATGAATATTTTATTAATGTTGGGATTGAGATGGAAAAGTCTATTCCTTTGCCCAAACAGGAATGCCAGATGGAAACTGGCATCCAGAACTCGATTTTCTTATCCCCTATTACAAAGAATGAACCTATAAAACAAATATGTACCTTAAAAAATAATAGCTCTCCAGGATACGATGGCATAAATTCAGAAACTATAAAACAAACACACTTACACATACTAACCCCTCTATTACATATTTATAAGTTAATTTTGGTTACCGGAAACATACCGGCTGTATTTAAAATGGCCGTAGTTGTTCCCATCCATGAATCAGGACCTTAAACATGCATTAAGAATTACCGGCCTATAAGCAAAATAAACAATTTTGCTAAGATTTTTGAAAAATGCCTCAAAGAAAGGTTGACCTGTTTTTTTGAACATAACGTTTTGTCCGTAAATCAGTTTGGGTTTGTCGGGGGGGTGCAGCACTACGGATGCTATGCATAAACTTGTTACAGAGGTAGTCAACAAACTGAATATCGATTAAAGATGTATTGCCGTTTTTTTGGACCTGGCAAAAGCATTCAATACTGTACCTCACGATAAGCTTCTTGATGTTCTCTCGCTTTTGGGAATCAGGGGAATAGCTTTGAAACTATTAAAAAGTTATTTATTAGACAGATATCAAATGGTTAAAGTCAATAATATT